GTGTTGAATTTTATTCACAGTAGTGTAATGACAAGTAATGACAGCAATCTAAACTCGCTTGCTTGGATAACTTCCCTCCCCCTTTGTCCCTCTCGCCATGCGCACCCGTATTCCTCATTAATTTGCCACAGTCATCTATTCACCCTTAGCGCTCAAAAACACTGTCTCTTGCGCGCAGCTCCAAATGTAATCTTCCAATCGGACAAGCTTTGGATATTCACCCATCCCGTGAGACAGATTTTAGCCCAGTGACTCAGTGATCGCCAAATATAAAATTAACTGACACCCGGCTAAAATCTGAATTCATTCCAGCCTGTGATTGTGGTATAACTGGAGTGGAAATGCTTCAGCGTTATTACGCTTCCCTTAAAGTCTGTAATAATCTCCTCGGGTTGTCGAAAATCTGATATTGGTTATTTTATAGCCAGACGTCTTGCTGATATTTTGTCCGAAATCAAACTAGACACGTGTACAATTTGCCTCCTGGACACGCTAGGGATTTTGTTGTTAGCTAAACTCCGCAACGTTTAACTGTCGTTAGCGGTAGGTAGCCCACTGGTATCATAGGTAGGCAGTTACGTAAGATGTCTTGATGACTTGACGAATTCGTTACCATTAAGGAGGTCGGAAGCGAAGCCACGGCGGTCGTTAACGCACTACCGCACTGGGGTATAGCTGGTCAACAGGCTAAAAAGGGCTGCTTAAGCCTTCTGTGTGTTCGTCGGGCAACCGCTTTATTATTTGTTTGTTTATCCTTACGCAACAACCGGCGAACCGTTCTTACAAAATCGCTGCTTCGAGCTGGAGAAAGGAACAGGATTGACTAATGTACAGTCTTTATGTTTATATGGCGATATACTGCAGAAAGTTTTTTCGGTTTTTTAAAATCTGCATTTAGAATAATGAGGCCTTAGAGCTTGCAGAAAGTTAAATTTGCACAGGAAATCAGTACTAAGCACAAGGTCATTCCATGATTCACGCAGGCTAATAAATGAAAATAATAATTTAAAAACATAATTCGAGAAAGAGACAAGA